TTCTCACTAAATAAACTTTAGATGATAACATGACTTTTTTTTGGCTACAGGATATTTAAACTTGTATCTACTACTCCTTTGAACTAGGCGGTTGACCATCGTGACTTAAGTTGAGTTAAAGCATGTCCATTAAGGAGTAAGGGTGAATATCCCTTAGAGGGTGTGGAAAGAAATTGAACCTAAGACATTTGCGTTACCAAAAATCAAACTAAACAACTGAACTACATGTAAGAATTAGATGATAACATGCCTTGATTAATGTGAAGAGCATTCAAACCGTGTAACGAAAAGACAAATAAATACACCATCCATATTTTATTGAATATTATTGAAAGACAACATTGAAGGTGGTCCCCGGTCCTACATTACTGCCCTTGATCTCCCATACTCAAATTAAATACGTTTAAATTTAGTAAGGATCCTCGACTTCTTCCCAATCGTCCACTGCTCAACATATGTGTCATAGTTGTTTTTAACGGTACCATCTATTGCAACGACTATGAGATGGTAATTTTTGCTATTGGGAGCAAGAAAGGTCTCACCCTTAACCACATTCGAGAACTTCAAGTTGGTCTTTGCTATCTCGTTGTGTTTGGCCACCGCATATTGACCTATTTCTACCACCTCGGGACTATTCAGGTCCTCTATCGGCTCCCAAGTGCCATCTTTCAAACCACCAATAGCGATAGAGACGTCGAAAAGAATGGACACAAGGAGAAAGAAGAGAATCATAGAAAGAACAAGGGATTGAAACTTGAGAGGCATTTCTATATTGAAATATGACTTGCTTGTGGAAGGTGTGGTTCGAGATGAATTTATAGTGGAAAGGGGTACACATAGACTAGAGAGTTATTACGCGGGCGAGTTCCAAAAATTGTCCTTGATTTGTCATGGTAATTAATATATAATGAATTCGAATTGAATCATAGTAGGTGATTAAAAGCAACTTTGGAAATATGTATTAAAAGAAATCTCACTTGATACATTCCAATGCAAAATAATTATTATTTTGTAATACTTTTATGAAACTCAATTAAATGTAAAGACAAGTAATTAAAATCAAGTGCAAATTGGATTTGGACTTAAATTTAACCTCATTTAATGACCTGATTCTCACTATGACAATTGGATCGATTGTGGGTCTAATCAAATATTAGAACTTGTTNGAAACTCAATTAAATGTAAAGACAAGTAATTAAAATCAAGTGCAAATTGGATTTGGACTTAAAAATTTAACCTCATTTAATGACCTGATTCTCACTATGACAATTGGATCGATTGTGGGTCTCATCAAATATTAGAACTTGCTATTCATCCAATAATTTTAATAAAATTACATCATCAAGTCAACAAATAACGTCAACTTTTTAGGTCTGAATAACATTACTCAATTGGAATTACTCTAGCTCATAATGGATAGTTTCAAGGTTACATATACTTAATCAATAATAATAATTGAAAGTTGGAAGAGTAATGGTGGACGAGTCACTATTTTAACTTATCATTTATGTCACTGTTTTAACATATCGTTTATTTATGATTTTGTCTTTTAAGTCTTAATGCCTNTCATCAAGTCAACAAATAACGTCAACTTTTTAGGTCTGAATAACATTACTCAATTGAAATTACTCTAGCTCATAATGGATAGTTTCAAGGTTACATATACTTAATCAATAATAATAATAATTGAAGGTTGAAAGAGCAAACTTGGACGAGTCACTATTTTAACTTATCATTTATGTCACTGTTTTAACATATCGTTTATTTATGCTTTTGTCTTTAAGTTTTTAATGCCTTTTTTTTTTAGCCATTTATGTTAATTTTTCACTAATTTTGGGTGAGATCTTTTTGAATCTCTCTCACATATTTAATCATATCTTCTAGCTTTTCTTATTCGATCACATTAAGATTTTTTTATTTCTCAGTCGTTATCTTCAGCTAAGTTGTGACATATCTTATTCTATACTTCGAATTTATCAAATAAAAAATAAAAAAACTATGTTTTGAGATTTCAATTGAAGATATGTATTTCTCGTTGTTTTTTCGATTATTTATTTTAACTTTGCAAGAATTTACATAATAAACGAGAAATACGATATACCAATAGGAAATTACGACAGTGACATATATTCTAGTGCTGAAAATTATGCTCTACTACATGTATATACAAATAAGTAAACATGAACTTGCCAGTACAAGGAAAATAAGGATAAATAAGGCATAAAGCATCCCAAAGGAATAGGATAACAAAGGATTAACTATCATAAGTTTAGATGTCAAAATATGATACAACCTGATNATGACGGGCGGTCCGACCCCGAAGCCCATATCAGACAGTACAAGCAGATGATGTCCTTCTATCATTCGGACCACCGGTTTCTTTGTCGAGTGTTTCCTATGAGCTTGGGGGACTCTGCGATGAAGTGGTTCGAGGTGCTTCCTCCCAACAGTATTGGGTCCTGGAAGGAATTGACTAGGCAGTTCCTGGCTCGATTCATTANCAACATTGAAGGTGGTCCCCGGTCCTACATTACTGCCCTTGATCTCCCATACTCAAATTAAATACGTTTAAATTTAGTAAGGATCCTCGACTTCTTCCCAATCGTCCACTGCTCAACATATGTGTCATAGTTGTTTTTAACGGTACCATCTATTGCAACGACTATGAGATGGTAATTTTTGCTATTGGGAGCAAGAAAGATCTCACCCTTAACCACATTCGAGAACTTCAAGTTGGTCTTTGCTATCTCGTTGTGTTTGGCCACCGCATATTGACCTATTTCTACCACCTCGGGACTATTCAGGTCCTCTATCGGCTCCCAAGTGCCATCTTTCAAACCACCAATAGCGATAGAGACGTCGAAAAGAATGGACACAAGGAGAAAGAAGAGAATCATAGAAAGAACAAGGGATTGAAACTTGAGAGGCATTTCTATATTGAAATATGACTTGCTTGTGGAAGGTGTGGTTCGAGATGAATTTATAGTGGAAAGGGGTACACATAGACTAGAGAGTTATTACGCGGGCGAGTTCCAAAAATTGTCCTTGATTTGTCATGGTAATTAATATATAATGAATTCCAATTGAATCATAGTAGGTGATTAAAAGCAACTTTGGAAATATGTATTAAAAGAAATCTCACTTGATACATTCCAATGCAAAATAATTATTATTTTGTAATACTTTTATGAAACTCAATTAAATGTAAAGACAAGTAATTAAAATCAAGTGCAAATTGGATTTGGACTTAAATTTAACCTCATTTAATGACCTGATTCTCACTATGACAATTGGATCGATTGTGGGTCTAATCAAATATTAGAACTTGTTATTCATCCAATAATTTTAATAAAATTACATCATCAAGTCAACAAATAACGTCAACTTTTTAGGTCTGAATAACATTACTCAATTGAAATTACTCTAGCTCATAATGGATAGTTTCAAGGTTACATATACTTAATCAATAATAATAATAATTGAAGGTTGAAAGAGCAAACTTGGACGAGTCACTATTTTAACTTATCATTTATGTCACTGTTTTAACATATCGTTTATTTATGCTTTTGTCTTTAAGTTTTTAATGCCTTTTTTTTTTAGCCATTTATGTTAATTTTTCACTAATTTTGGGTGAGATCTTTTTGAATCTCTCTCACATATTTAATCATATCTTCTAGCTTTTCTTATTCGATCACATTAAGATTTTTTTATTTCTCAGTCGTTATCTTCAGCTAAGTTGTGACATATCTTATTCTATATTTCGAATTATCAAATAAAAAATAAAAAAACTATGTTTTGAGATTTCAATTGAAGATATGTATTTCTCGTTGTTTTTTCGATTATTTATTTTAACTTTGCAAGAATTTACATAATAAACGAGAAATACGATATACCAATAGGAAATTACGACAGTGACATATATTCTAGTGCTGAAAATTATGCTCTACTACATGTATATACAAATAAGTAAACATGAACTTGCCAGTACAAGGAAAATAAGGATAAATAAGGCATAAAGCACCCCAAAGGAATAGGATAACAAAGGATTAACTATCATAAGTTTAGATGTCAAAATATGATACAATCTGTTNGTACAAGGAAAATAAGGATAAATAAGGCATAAAGCATCCCAAAGGAATAGGATAACAAAGGATTAACTATCATAAGTTTAGATGTCAAAATATGATACAACCTGATAATACGATATGAAATTATAGAGTTTAGATATTTCTTAAATCACTTTTTTAATAAACGAATTGACCCGACTCGACTCGACACGACTAATAACTAAATCGAGTATAGGTGAAGACAATAAGATTAAATAAACAACATGATTCATTTATTTATCAGTTATACATAGTTTATGCACGACACGAATTCATTATAACACGATTTGTTAGACACGAATTAATAAATGAATCGNCCGACTCGACTCGACACGACTAATAACTAAATCGAGTATAGGTGAAGACAATAAGAATAAATAAACAACATGATTCATTTATTTATCAGTTATACATAGTTTATGCACGACACGAATTCATTATAATACGATTTGTTAGACACAAATTAATAAATGAATTGAATATGTGAAAAGTATTTTTTTACACAAAATCTACTAAAACTCTACACAAACCTTCTTCATCTTACGCAATTGCCAAGTCTAATCATAATAGCATAAGCTTGAAGGCCCGATAGTTTTTAGGCAAAATTGGAGGCCATGAAATGAACTATGGAAGACCAAGTTCATCAATCAACCTCTTTCAACAAAGGAAATTTCAGACTCTGTACTGGCATTCTCTGTCCTGGACTTCAGATCATCGACATAATGCTGATAGACATACGATACAAACCCCCNCATCGCACCGAAAGCTGTAGGGTGTTCAAATCATTCTTGGAAAGCTTGGTCCGAGATGGACATTTGAAAGAGTACATTGAGCCCAGGCCAGAAGAGAGACGAGCCCTTGCCCCGACCGAGGAACCGGATAACATCATAGACATCATTCATATATGTCCCCTGGATCGCCCCACGTCCAGNAAAAGATCACAGCAAGAACTGGAACAATTGGCAAAGTTAGAGTACTAATCTCATTGGCGAAGAGAGCCGAGCCCTTAAAAATCAACCCGACGATTCCAATACTGAAAACCTGCCATGCCAGAGCTGTCCATACCAGTGTCATCACATAGGATGATTTCCCTAGTTCAAATTCTTCCATTTCTGTCTTCAGACTCTTCCACTCTCCACTAGCGAAAAGCCCGACAAGAATGACACAAGTTGCAACCAGCGATTCGTAGATTGTCACATCCAGGACATCTCTAATGGTTTGCTTTTTCAAGATCTTCCTGAAGAAGAGCTGTGAAATGGATAGTATTAATGCATAACCCGTGGCTGCACCAACAGTGCATAAAAACCCGATTGCATACTTCCCTTTAGAGGCTTTACTGGACTCTCCGGAGTCATTGTGGAAGACAAGGAGAGAGGAGGAGGTGGTGAGAAGCACTATAGAGTTGATTATGAAAGGAGTGAACTTTTGTGAATTGAGGTAGCGAGAGAAAATAGCATTGAAGCCAACTTGGGTTGAAGTAATGAGGGAAAAAGTAGAGACAGGAAGATATAAGAGACCAATTACAAACAAGATGGTACCAGCTGCTAGAAAAAGGCCAAGGAGACCATAAACTGATACAATGACTAAGGTGGAAGGTGCATTTGTACTGTTTGCAGTGTGATTTTTTGTCACTGAAATGTATAGGAGGGGGAGGAGGATTGGGAAGCCTGCAGATTGCACAAGTGTTGCCATCCATTTGCTTTTTCCGCCTTTTTCATAATACAGTCTCCCCAAGAGTGTTGCAGCCGACTGGCCGGAAAGAACAAAAAGTGCATAGATGACCATTTCGAGATACCACTGGTATTGTCTACGCGGTGGAGGGACGATTGATTGGTGGTGGTTGCCAATTTCATGTTCATGATCAGAGTTAATTTCCGTGGCTTCCTGATCTGGTAAAATAACATGTTGAAAAAATCAGTATTGTCACCAGACCTTTATCCTTTTCACGTACATCCTACACACAGAAAATGAACTTAGAGTATTGAGGAATGTAATACTGAAAGCTGCTTAATTGGGCGCCACAGACTTATTGAGTCATGGAAATAGTCTCTCCGCATGTAGGATATGAATATGACTATATAGATCTGACCCTCCCCATAACTACTTTGTCTGTGAGTGTTACTATGCTGTTTTACTACACCTTATGGTTTACCAGATCCATTGAGCTATATCTATGGTTAGTGCAAGTTAATTTTTGTGGCACTTCATGTCAAAAGTTCTTCTTTATAAAAGCATCTGATTTTGTTAAGCTGTTTAGTAATCACTAATCAGCTAAGCTATAGCTTCAAATTCATCCAGCAGAATTGTTGGAGTGGATAGTTAATAGAAATATATTATAGGGTTAATAGTACTTTTGGTCCCTAAAATACAGATTGTTTGTCAATTTTGTTCACAATGTCTTAATTTCATCAATTTGGCGTCTAAACTATTAAATCTGTGTCATTTTGGTCTCTACATAGATAAACTGTTAAGTTTTTTGACGGAAGTAATCATGTGTCACTTTTTTAAATGGTATTGCCTAATACGTGATCATTCTATCAAAAAGTTAACGGAATGATGAAGTAGAGCAAGTCTGCCAAAGTAGCTTAGATTTACTTTAATTCAAAATTATGTAATTAAGTTTTTTGTAGACGAGGCTACGGTTGGAAAAAAAAGGGTCTCTTAGTGCTTGCGAATCCTATGTTTAAGTGGAGATAATATTGAATGTAACGGTGATACCATATGGTTTGTTTGGATGGATTTTTGGGAAGAGTTTATATTGACTCACCCAAACCCTTTTAAATCCAAACCCCTCTTTAGAAAGATAAGATTCAACATTGAATCTAGTCTATACCTATGCTTCGTATGTCCACGAATATATCACTATTATGATAATATATTTGTATTTAAATGACTATTTTGTCCCTTCATCAATCTAATTCAAACTCATGTTCATATACGCATGGGATATAATTTTCTTCTTTTTTCCTACACTCGTTAACCCTAGTCTGAAATCCACCTCCCCCTAGGTTTGATGACCCATGATTTGGGGTTTAACGTCTGGGTCAATAGCGAGTTGGGCTTAATAACCCAAGTTTCAAATTTTTGGCCAAACATAAGTTTTGTGTGTCATTTGGACTATTTTTCTCAACCCATCTTACAAAGCCCCCTAATCCCACTTACCAAACAACCCCAAGTGGACAAGGTGAACCCAACTTGGACTTACGTAAAGAAAGAGTGGNCTTCATGTCAAAAGTTCTTCTTTATAAAAGCATCTGATTTTGTTAAGCTGTTTAGTAATCACTAATCAGCTAAGCTATAGCTTCAAATTCATCCAGCAGAATTGTTGGAGTGGATAGTTAATAGAAATATATTCTAGGGTTAATAGTATTTTTGGTCCCTAAAATACAGATTGTTTGTCAATTTTGTTCACAATGTCTTAATTTCATCAATTTGGCGTCTAAACTNGGTTTTTACCGGAGTTGGGTTTTTTCTTTTAATTTTTATTTTCACACAAAATATTAAGATAAGGGTAGTTGTGGGTTTTTGATTAATATAAGTCACTTTTAATAGTGGTCAACTAACAGTACAAACATAAAGGGACAAATTGTTCAATTTTAAACAAGAGAAACCTGATTGCAATAAGATCCAAAGTTTAAGGGGATATTTTGTAATTAACCTTTAATATTATTGATAATTAATATTACATCACATTGTTATATGATATCCCTGTTGTATTAAATATTTTGTCATCTGAGTGAGATCTAGGTACACAAGGCATGGCAAGGAAGAAATTCCGTTGACAAAAACTTTCCGTGACAAANTTTAAATGGTATTGCCTAATACGTGATCATTCTATCAAAAAGTTAACGGAATGATGGAGTAGAGCAAGTCTGCCGAAGTAGCTTAGATTTACTTTAATTCAAAATTATGTAATTAAGTTTTTTGTAAACGAGGCTACGGTTGGATAAAAAAGGGTCCCTCAGTGCTTGCGAATCCTATGTCTAAGTGGAGATAATATTGAATGTAACGGTGATACCATATGGTTTGTTTGGATGGATTTTTGGGAAGAGTTTATATTGACTCACCCAAACCCTTTTAAATCCAAACCCCTCTTTAGAAAGATAAGATTCAACATTGAATCTAGTCTATACCTATGCTTCGTATGTCCACGAATATATCACTATTATGATAATATATTTGTATTTAAATGACTATTTTGTCCCTTCATCAATCTAATTCAAACTCATGTTCATATACACATGGGATATAATTTTCTTCTTTTTTCCTACACTCGTTAACCCTCGTCTGAAATCCACCTCCCCCTAGGTTTGATGACCCATGATTTGGGGTTTAACGTCTAGGTCAATAGTGAGCTGGGCTTAATAACCCAAGTTTCAAATTTTTGGCCAAACATAAGTTTTGTGTGTCATTTGGACAATTTTTCTCAACCCATCTTACGAAGCCCCCTAATCCCACTTACCAAACAGCCCCCAAGTGGACAAGGTGAACCCAACTTGGACTTACGTAGAGAAAGAGTTGAGAGTTAATTGCTTACNCCCCCTTCCCCCTCCCCATCCCCAATAGAAAAAAGAAAGAGAATATCAAAACAAAATGTTCGAGACTGACTTAAATAAAACAGATCAACAGAATAAAAAAACTGTAAGAGCTCAAAGTTTTTGATACTTGCTGCAATTCTACTATTAGATGGTGCTATCTTTTGGGGAAGCAATGACACCATCGATTGTATCGTATCGTAAATTATAATTTTTTAAAGTTAAATTATAATTTTTTTAATGTGTAAGTTACAATTTTAAAGGGTATGATCGATGATAAAATGTTAAGATCGATACCAAAATTTTCATGATCAATTATGGGTGTCCATGATCGATCATAATTTTTCCTTGACTAGCTGTAACTTTTTCTTTCAAAATTATAATTTTATTCATAAAAAATAGCAACTGATGATATGGTACCAAATTTTTTTTTTAGTACCTTAGAATTTCCCTATCATTGAATACCAGAAGTAGAAAGAACATAACCAACTTTTTGCGAGAATCAGATAAAACCTGTAATATTTTCCACTTTTGGCTAGTTTATGTACAAATTCAACATAGTAATACTAAGCATTCCAAATCATCGTGATCTTTAGATTAGTGGATTTCGTTAATTTTTTTTAACAGGACTTAGTTATTCAAAGATCTCTACTAAATTCCAAATGAGAAACCAAATTTGAAATACAAAGTATTTCCCTTTTCAAAATAGTATTCTCTCTCTCCTCTCCTCTCCTCCCCTCCCCTCCCTCTCTTTGTGTGTGGGAAGAGTATTTATTTTGAGAAACTGACTTTCCCGTGATCTGCAGTTGCTGTTCTTGAGCTTCCCCCATGCAAAATACGTTGCAGAAGCTCCAAGAGGATTCAGCTAAGAGAGAGAAAGAATAACACTTGTTACACAGTCGAGGCTTGTATAGGAGAACAAAAAACACAAATCACGGGAGTAGTTAAGCTGTTATTAATATGGCAAACATTTGTTGAAATTACCACAAAGATGAATCCAATGAGAGAGAGAGAGAGAGAGAGAGTTAAGGCCTCAACTCCAATTGGCTGGCATTGAATGATTTTCAACATTATCAGTTCTTCTCACTGTCCATCATAAAGCATAAAAAAGCAGCATTACAAATCATCTTCTTCATTTAGTGGCATGAGGCATTTTTATTTCATGTTGGATAGGGTTATAATCATGTCATGATCTGGACATCACAGCTAGACAGGTAAAAGTGGATTCAACCCAAGTTATAAAATTTTGAAATTAGGTCTAAATGGAATCTGAATTCCACCGAATTTTTAACCCAAGTATTGCCCACATCTAAAATAATTTAGAACTCTAATTGTAATTTGGGATGAACTCTAGTTAATTCGGGTTTAATTTATAAGTCGGCTAGAATTTTTATTCAATTCAAGCTAAAATTGAATTTGGGTTGGGTTCTGATGGTGTAAATCAATGTGGTATAAATTTATGGTAATGAACAGATGGAATGATCAGTATCTGACTATTAGGATCTGAGCTGCAAGGCTCGAAAGAGCAATTGATGGAAATTGGGGGATTGACGCAATAGAATTATAATGATTCACCAACTCGGAAACTCGGTTAATACATTCTTCAATGGAGACTCTTGCTCATTTTCTTTTTTTACTCCTCTTTTTAGAAGGTTTACAGGATAGAGTATATGTTACTAGGGTTCTCTCTCTCTTTCTGTGGCCCTTAAAGGAGGGCGTTACGTAGTATTTATAGGGTTGTCTCTAATCCAGCAGGATCTGCACCGAGATCCTTAACATTTTTCCGAGGAACTCTCCTTGATCTTAGGAGAGGATCTTAGCTGGTTAAAGATTTTGTACCTTGAACATGGCTCTCTGCCACCTATAAAATTTTTGTTGTCATCCAGCTGCATCCTTATCATTTTCGTTGTTGGTGCATCTGGGGGGAGCTCTAGCTTTGATCCTCTGAACTCTGCGTGTCTTTCCTGACTTCCTGGTCTGACCTGCTTACCTGACCTCTTGGTCTGAGCTCATACTTGGAAATTATTCTAAGTATCATCAGTTGTCCCCCAGTCCTTAGCCCAAGTGAACTTGGGTAGGGGCTGAGCTGAGGCTTAATTAAGGCAGACCTGTAGACGTAGACCTCGATTTACGCGTGAACAGGTTTGTGACAGTTTCGAGTAATCATTTCATTTCCTAGTTTCTCGTGCACGTTCTCTACTTTGAACCATTAGCTTTAAATACCCCTGAATCAACGGTTCTCTCCTTATTCTTCAAATTCTCTTTGGTCTTCCCTTTCTTCTTTGTGACTTCATCTTCCCTCGTTTGCTACCGTTCTTAGGGCTTTTGCAGAGAGACGATTTCCTCTAATTTGACCCGAAGGCTTAACGAGGTTTGCTTCTTCGTTCTTCGCTTCGAAGGATTAGGTACGTTTCTTGACTTTTTCGTGATTCTTCGTCCTGGACCCCTCAAATATGAGGTGGTTGCTATTTTTTTGGACCTTTCGATTCTGCTATTTCAGGAACAGGGGTCAATCTTTGTCTCGTATTCCCCTTTTTCTTAGATCCTTATTTGACTGTTAGGGTCTTCCTTATTGGCAGCTGTTGTGTTGCTCCCCAAACCCTTAGTGAGTGTTTCACTAATATTC